TTTGGAGAGCTGATGCATGCTTTTGATAGGTGTTTCAATCTCAGCTCCATCTTGCAGCACGTTTGTGTGTATTTGGGAAAAGCATATTCTGGTCAACATGTGCAACCTGTACACCTTCCAGTTAATCACACCTGGCTGCATGGCCTCACAACGCGTGGTGCTGAACCAGGAGGCTGCGTGGGCTTAGGTCAGTCTGAACAACCTTCCCAGCCAAATGGGATAGCTGGGGACAGGCTACTGAGCTGAGATTCGTGGATGAATTTGTAGGTGGCTGATGAGGTGAGTGAGTGTTACATGACACCATTTCAGACGTAGGATGGCAATGCATAGGCAATCTCCTCAGGAGCCTGCGTTTCAAGGAGTCCCGTTGTCAGGGTGCCACAGAGGTGCCTCGATGGTGAAAACAGGAGAGCCTCATCTACCTGTGCGATGAAAATGTGGAGCTTTGGACTTCTGGAAAAGAGCTAGGTTCTACTTCTCGTCTCTCTTTGTGAGAATGAGGGGATCAAAAAAGAATCCTCTCCTATTATTTACTCATTCAGGTAGCACGAGTCAGTGGTGTTGGCATTCACCTTGCTGATCCAGAGAAACAGAAGAACAAAATCTCCCAACAGAGAATGATCTCATTTCTGGCCTGGCTTATCGGAAGGGTAAATACCAAAAATAATGAAGTAACTCTCTCTGTCTTGCCCAGGGCTCTTGAAAACAACGGGGTTGTTTTTGTGCCTTGTGTAGGGCAGGACCCTTTTTAATCTTTTACCTGACTGGAGTGTTCAGATCCCTATCAGATATTTTGAGCTATTTGCTCTTCATCACAGACCAAAATAAATACCTCTGTGATTGACAAGTATGGGATAATCTGCCCCAAGTGTAAAAAACTCATCCTAAAAGTCAGAAATTAATTAAATACCTAAAATACAGGCTTTCTGTCCCTCCAAATGTTCTTGTCAGTGTTCCTACAATTTTGGATCCCCTTAGTACCTGATATAAGCTGCCAGTTCTTCTTTTACTCTTGCTACACCCTATTAAAAGGCACAGCAGCTGCATCCCAGTGGGCACATTCTTCTTTTCCTCTTCCAAGCTTTCAGCAGTGTCACATCCACTGATGTGCAGCCCTTCCCACATTACCTGTGTGGGGCGTCCCTTTGCTCTGCAACGTGCTTGCCAGCCTATACGTGTGCAAGTATAACTCCATCATCATCAGGGCTGGTTGCAGGCACAAGTGTAGCACGCAGTTGCCTTAGGGAGCTGACAGACTGTGACAAAATAGCCAAGGTGTTTTGTATATGGCAGAGACCTGGAAGGCAAGAGTGGCTGCTGATGCCTGGTTTGAGGCAGACTACAAAGGAAAAGCAGCTCTGTGTCTTTTCCCTTGTTGCCCATGGCAGGGACCGGCCAGGCTGGCCCCCAGCCATGAAACAGCAACGTTTCATGTTGCCAATGATGATGGCTATGCTCATGTGTGGTACCTGCATAACCACGTGTTCTTCGCTCCTGCAGATCTCCAGTTTTCTGTGCACAACTGCGACGAACTGAGCCCCTGTGTTACCGTAAGTCGGCAGATGAGGAACTCTCTAAGACTCAATTTGGAGTTTTAGAAAGCAGGCATTCTTTACTGCGGCGCTGGGTGCAAGGTGGAATTTCCACAAATCAAGCACACCTATGGCTAGATCACTGTTACATTTATACACAAGAATTACAAGGTAATACACTCCCAGTTACAATGATTGGTTAGTGATTTACATATAATTATAATATCGGTTGTGTCATTCTCTTCTGTTACTACGCTTGCGCAGGGGAGGGTCTTCACCTGGGCAAGGGTCTTCTTGACCTGTGGGTGTGTTTTTTAGTATTATAATGAAGGCAGTTCACTTCAGGACACCTTAAAAGTAAGTTTTGTTGCCAAGTTGGCCAGCTAGATACCTACCTTGCCAGGCTGTCAATTAACTCATCCTATATACAATAGAACCCAGGTGCTCTGGTTATGGTCTAGAGTCCAGAGAATAGGGACTTCAAGAAACACAGCCCCGGATAACAAGTAGCACAGCACCCATACATAACGCTAACATAAAAACTAACTTATTAAAATCAAGATGTTCTTATAGTTGATTATTTCACAACCAAACATAGAAAGATTCAGTAAAACTTAAGATAATCTTCAACATCTGTTCTCCCCACTGCTTGAGTAGGGAAAAAAAAGAGCTGTAGGTAGCTGGCTACAACTTTCCGATCAGGGAGCCTGGCTCTGGCAGAACTAAAACCCTCTCTGTCAGTTGCTGCTCTCGCCAAGATTGCGGCGGGTGGCAGGTCCTCTCCGCTGCTGACGCCATTTTGCACCCTCCTGCCCGCTCCCTCGTTCCCTTTTCTTTCTGGCTCGTTAAGTATCGAGTGTTCCTGGAGAACATCTTTCGACACGTCGATTCATTGTTACAGAACGGGGATCCGTTTGCGTTATAACCGTCCAGCCCTGGCGCTGGGATAACGGTCAACACCGCCGGGTGAGGGAACGGGAGAGCGCGGCCGGCGGCAGCGCAGGCGCCCCCGCC